CAATTCAATGATAGCTTCTTCCATAACAAATGCATGTCATCAATGGAGAAGAGAAATTTGTATGGATATTTATGCCCTATAAGTGTCTAGAAGAATAACAACCCACTAGATATGAGAATCAGATATGTGGGCAATACGATTGGAGACACTAAATTACCTTGTTATTTGGTACCAATTATTGAAGGGCAAGGAGCTTAATTATATTTATTTATACATACTTAAATTGCTAAGAATTATTGTGATATCCAATAATGTATAAGTCTTACTCTATGATGTAGTTGTCATTGGAGTTTGTGTGTTTCTTGTCCTATCAACAATGTCATCTACTAGTTTGATCCCTTGGATTATCGTCCAAGCACTGAGATGAGGGGCGTTTTCAACACGTAAGTAGCTTAATGTAGATCGATAATTTTGTTTTCACTATAAATTATTTAACTTGTGCTTTCATTTGCTTATAGGGCTCTAAAGACTTATTATATAACCGGTGGGAGGTGTTCTAACAAAAATGGCCCAACAACTTGGGTCTATCCCAACATGAGTACTTTGAATTGAAGTTCTTTCATTGATGGCAGTTATTTTATATATGAATTTGGATTATCATTTCCATGTGATTTGTAGTGTGCTAAGCAATGATGGTCAACAGAGTGCGGATATTACATTATCCGTTATATGTTTGAAATTACTGAGAGTAGATGTACTACAAAATTTGATGAGGTAAGTAAATATAATTTTAGTTTTGTAATAGTTGAAATTTTAAATTGAATTGTTACTTATTTTATTTTGTTCATTTGTCAATTTACAGATTTTTGATAATGACTGCTCATATACTATTGATGATATTGACTTCATCCGAGACCTTTTGGCATAGCAACTACTTCAAAAATGGTGGTCTAAGGATTGATCAAGTTTATGTTTAGAGATAATAGGTTATCAATTTTGACTTTTGCAATTTGTTCTTCTTTTTTGACTAGTTAGTTAATATGTCAATATATTGATGAAGTTATGATGTTGATATGTCTTGGCTGAAAATATTGACTGGTTCATACTATTTCAACTTGCTAGAAAGTAGCTATTATAGCTATAGGGGAAGTGGTATATACGAAGTGAATTTTTTTTTTTAAAAAGAGCACATTCACGTCTGTTTTACGAAATAGAAGTAAAAAAAAATCATATTTTTAACCTCTGTTTTACACTAAAACAGACGTGAGTTTATGTCTGTTTTTGAAGAAACAGAAGTAAAAAAAAGTGATTTTTTACTTCTGTTTAAAACAGATGTAAATAATACCATTATTCTCTTCTGTTCGAAACAGAAGTAAAAAGGGGGTACTTTTTATGTCCCTTCTTTTCATGTCTCCCGCAAAATAGAAGTAAAAAGTCATGCAAAATAGAAGTAAAAGGCCTTTATTGTAGTAGTGTGATGAAGATCTTCGGTTACTAAGCACAACTTAAACTAGAGGAGCGGAATCTTATTACATATTCTTTTTTTTCTCTCTTGTTTTTTTTTTCAAAATTGACCCAAACCATGACTCTAATGTGTTCTTCCATCCCAAGCACATGTAATTTAGTACTCTTCAACTCTTAAGACATTCAGAAAAAGTAGGATTTTTTTTTTTGGGCTATGGGTTAAGGGGGAAAAAATGATGAAGGCTCAAAAGGGGTTAAGTGAAGGATAAATGCATGAAAAGGGTAGGTTTTTTGCTTATCTGGCTAGAAAAATGGAAATGAATGCCTTTATCATCTTTATGAATGCAAATGCACAAACATGGTCTCAAACAAGATTCAAGTCAAGTTCTAGATTGAGGAAAGAGATAGGAGTATACACACATGAAAAGAAGAAATGCATCATGCTCAAAACCTCACTAGGTACATGATTACTAGCTTAAATTCACCTAAGTCAAATCCATTGCCACTTAGTTTATCCACTCAAGACATGATCAATCACTTTTCAAATTAAGAATGCATCGTACTTGAATCACTTCAAATTTGCAATCTTCACACTCAAAACAAAACAAAACAAAACACCTTTTTTTCCAGCTTTTTTTAAAGAGGAAAACTAAAACAAAAGTAAAAACACACCAAAAAAGAAAAAAAAATAAAAGAATGAAATCCCTCCCCCATATTTAAACAATGCATTATCCTCAATGCATAACACATAGGGCAAATCACAAAAATAAGTGGTATCCAGCACAGCCCAGCTTAATAATATGACAATGCAAAGCAAAAAGAGTGAAGGGAAGGAATACAACCGGGGCTACGTGGCATCTCGTAGTGTGATAATCTCTACGTCTTGGGTGGAGAATCCCTCGTAGTAAGGCTTCAAGTGATGACCATTGACTGTGAAGCATCTTCTTGTTAGCTCTCTCTTAATCTCTATATCTCCATAGGGAAAAATATTAGTGACAATGAAAGGTCCCTCCCATCTAGAACGGAGCTTACCAGGCATGAGTTTAAGTCTAGAGACATAAAGTAGAACTTTTTATCTCACGTGAAACTCCCTTCTCAAGATGAGCTTATCATGGATAGCCTTAGTTCTGTCCTCGTAGATCCGAGCATTCTCATATGCTTCTCTCTTAAGCTCTTCAAGTTCTTGCAATTGTAACTTTCTTTCAGCACTAGCACTAGCAAGATCAAGATTGCAGCTTTTGATGGCCCAATATGCCTTGTGCTCCACCTCTACTGGTAGATAACAAGCCTTACTAAAGACAATCCGATATGGAGACATGCCAATCAGGCTTTTATATTCTATATGATATGCCCAGAGTGCATCATCCAACCTCTTGCTCCAATCCTTTCTGTTAGGTTGCATTGTCTTTTCAAGAATGAGCTTAATTTCTTTGTTCGAGAGTTCCACTTGACCATTTGTCTGAGGGTGGTATGGAGTAGCCATCTTATACATCACACCATACTTGATAAGTAAGCTCTGCATACTTCGGTTGCAAAAATGAGTACCTTGATTGCTAATGATAGCTCTTGGGATTCCAAACCTGCAGAAAATGTGAGACCTAACAAAAGAAACCACTACAGAAGAGTCGTTAGTACGAGTGGGGATTGCCTCAACCCACCTAGAGACATAATCCATAGCAAACAAAATGTAAACATAACCAAATAAAGTAGGAAAAGGCCCCATGAAATCAATATCCCAAACATCAAAAACTTCACAGAACAATAGAGGTTGTTGAGGCATCTCATGCTTCCTAGAGATATTGCCAACAAATTGGCACCTAGAGCACTTCTTACAAAACTCGTGGGCATCATGGAATAAAGTAGGCGAGAATAACCCACTTTCCAAAACCTTCCTAGCAGTACGCCTAGCACTAAAGTGCCCTCTACAAGCAAGGGTGTGGCAAAACATCAAGATAGATTCAAATTCACTATTAGGAATGCATCGCCTCATAACCTGGTCATTGCAAATGTGCCACAAGTAGGGATCATCCCATATATAGAACCTAGCATCACTCTTAAACTTGTTTAATTGATGCTTATTTATATCAGTTGGTAGAACAGATGCAGTCAGATAATTAGCAATGTCAGCATATTACAGAACAGTCATATCAACTCCACAAAGTCTATTATCAGGAAAATCATCTAAGGGTAAAGAAGATGTTACCACAGGAGCCTCAATCCTACTTAAGTGATAAGCTACCATGTTCTCTGTATCGCTCTTATCACGGATCTCTATATCAAACTTCTGTATCAGCATTACCCATCTAATCAAGTGGAGTTTGGAGTCTAGCTTCTTGAACAAGTACTTGATAGCTGAATTATTTGTAAAGACAGTTACTTTTGTGTGGAGGATGTAGGAACAAAATTTTTCAAGCCCAAACATAATTGTAAACAGCTCTTTCTCTGTGGTTGTGTAATTAGCCAAGGTGGCATCTAGTGTCCTTGATGCATATGTTATGATATGTTGTTGCTTTTCTATTCTCTGAGCAAGAACTGCACCCAATGCATAATCAAAAGCATCACACAAGAGCTCAAAGGGAAGGCTCCAATTAGGTGCCTGAATGATAGGAGGTGTAGTGAGTCGCTTTTTCAACTCATCCCAAGCATACCTGCAAGCATCATAAAAAACAAAGCCCACATCTTTCTACGGCAAATGAGACAATGCTAATGCAATTTTACTAAAGTCCTGAATGAATCGCCTGTAAAATCCAACATGTCCAAGAAAAGAGCGCACATCTTTCACATAAGAGGGATATGGAAGAGTTGAAATAATATCAATTTCGGCTTTGTCAACCTCAATACCATCACGTGAAATAACATGTCCTAAAACAATGCCTTTTTTAACCATAAAATGACATTTCTCAAAATTCAGCACAAAATTATATTCAATGCATCTTTCCAAAACCCTATCTAAACTAGCTAAGCATGCATCAAAAGAATCACCATAGATAGTAAAATCATCCATAAATACTTTCATGCAATGCTCAAGAAAATCAGAAAATATAGAGACCATGTAACGCTGAAAACTACCAGGTGTATTACATAATCCAAATGGCATGCGTCTATATGTAAAGGTTCCAAATGGACATGTGAATGTGGTCTTATCCCGATCCTCAGGTGCAATAGAAATTTGAAAATATCCCGAAAAACCATCCAAAAAACAATAATGGGAAGTACCAGCCAATCTTTCAAGTATTTGATCTATAAAGGGAAAGGGGTAATGATCTTTTCTGGTCACAGAATTCAACTTCCTATAATCAATACATACCCTCCAACTATTATGGACTCTAGTTACAACAAGCTCACCTTTATCATTATGAATAATAGTAATACAAGTCTTTTTCGGAACTACCTGAACCGGACTAACCTACTCGCTATCAGAAATGGGATAGATTATACCTGCAGAAAGAAGTTTAGAAACCTCTTTCTTTACCACATTAAGAATCAATGGGTTGAGTCGCCTCTGTAGCTGATGCACAGCTTTGGCACTATCCTCTAACAAAATCCGGTGCATGCACATATTAGGGCTAATTCTAAGAATATCTACAAGAGTCCATCTAATAGCTCTCATCCTTTAGCACCTCTAGGAGGTGAATTTCTTTATCAATAGCTATGTCGTTAGCTACAATCACTGGCAATGTCTCATCTTTCCCCAAATAGGCATATTTCAACGAATCAGGAAGTGGCTTTAGCTCTAAAGAGGGAGCTTCCTCAGTTGAAGGTATGAGGGGTTTTAAATCAATGTTAGTCAAACTAGAAACCTGCACTGAAGACTCACAAGCAGAAGAGTAGACTTTCCTAACTTGGGGATCATTAGTAGGAACAGTAATAGCAAAAGAATTAGGTAATACACCACAATTCACAAAAGAAGTGCTATCAGTGGCACTCATGTCAGAAGTAACATCAGGGTCAAAATCAAAGACCTCTATATTAGGAACATGATCAATGTAAGCTAATAGCTCATAATCAAGTAATGAAGATGAATTCGTTGCATCTATAGCATCAATCACACTAAGTAACTGAGAAAGCCCTTATGAATCAATAGAAGTACTAGATGAGGAATAACTGAAAGTGCTAAGTCTATGGACAGGTATAGAAGAATCAATACTAGAGTGTGTAACAATCTCAATGAAATTAGTGAAAACATCAATATCAGCAATATCTATACCAGTAAAAGTATCACAACTACCAATTCCAGAACATGAACAGGAGATAGAATCATCTAAGTCAACAATATCACATGATCTACTTATCATACTATCTCTAAAATCTATGAAAGCATCATTAGTAATAATGTCAACAAAACTAACATCAATCTTACCACAACTATCAGGTGGATGTCTCATAGAGTCAAGCACATCAAATCTAATAGATTTTACCGACAAATTCCATAGTAAGAGTACCAGCATGCACATCTATCACATCCTTGGCAGTCTTAAGAAATAGCCTACCCAAAATCAAAGATGAATGTCCCTTTTGCCTAAATCTAGCATCATCCATATCAAGAACATAGAAGTCTACAGGAAATATGAGATCTTTTACCTTCACTAAGACATCCTCCAAGACTCCTTCTGGAACTACACAGCGTTTGTCAGCAAGGGAAGCAATTAGATTTGTAGGCTTAAGATCCACACCTTGAAGTTAATTAAAAAATGATTTTGGCATGACATTGATGGCTGCTCCTAGATCTGTCAAGGCATCTAAAAACTCAATGTTACCAATGGTGCAAGGTATGAGGCCAGGATCCTTGCACTTTACTCACATTGGCCTCTTATAAAGAGAAGAGACTACTTCCCCTCAGTCAACCTTACCGTCATGCTTAAATATTCTCTTGGTGGTACACAAATCCTTCAAAAACTTCGCATACTTAGGCACTTGTGCAACTAGATCAACTAATGGAATATTGATCACCACTTTTTTGAAGATATCATAAACCTCTTTAAACATCTCAGATTCTTTCTTTTTCCTTTCAGCCCTCATCACGCCTGTAGGAAAAGGTAAGACTTGCTCGCTTACTTTCTTCCCTTCCCCATTTTTTTCTTGTTCTTTTTGCTATGCCACATGTGGTTTTGATAAAGTGGACTCATCATGTGATATGGAAGCAGGGGAAGAATCTTTAATGATAGCTTCCTCATCCTTTGAAGCATAGCTAGTAATGGGATCTGTGAAGGTAATTGAATTTTTGCTTCTGAGAGATATAGCATTAACTCCACCAATGTTAGGATTCAGCCGGGTGCCAATATTAGGGTTAACTACTACTTGAGATGGTAGCTTCCTTGAGCCTTGACTTTGCATGTTACTAAGTGCATTAGATAACTGCCCAATCTGAGTTTGAAGATTCTGAATCTCTTGGCTATGTTGCAAATCCTTTTGTTCAAACTTATTAATCAGGATTTTCATCATGCCTTCTAACTTTGAACTCTCATGTTAATTTGGCACGGTTTGCCTAACTTGTTGGAACATTTTAACACTAGAAGAGTTTACACCGTGATTGAACTGTGATTGTTGAGGCTGGCCACTTCCATATTTAAGATTTGGATGGTCACGCCATCCAGAACTGTATGTATTTGAGTAAGGATCATATTTCTGGCCCCCTTGTGTCATAGGCTTACTGTGGTATATTGCATTACATGAGTCAACTCCATCATTTAGGTAAGGGCAAGAGTCAGTAGTGTGAGTAGCTAGAAAGCAAATAGAGCAAAGTGGCCCAATTAGAGCTATAGAGTCAACTTGTAGGGTGAAAGGGGAAGAAGATCCCACAGATGGAGCCATATTCTGGGAGTTTTTCATCTGAAATACAACTATTTTCTCCATAGCAGATGCTAACTTATCAATTTTGCTCTCAAGGCGAGACTGAGAATAAGATGAATGCAATCCAACTTCATTTACTCTAACTTGCTACCTAGTACCAAATTGTTGGGTATTTTCAACTTTTTTTTTCAATCAATCTCCAAGCAGCTTCAACAGTCAAGTCAAGAAGAGCACCTCCAGCAGCGGAATCTAGTAAATCTCTCTCAAGAGGCAAGAGCCCTTCATGAAAATATTAAATCAACAATGTATCTGAAATTTTGGTAGTGAGGGCAACTAGATAACAATGATTTAAAGCGCTCATAATACTCATATAAGGATTTCCCAGACATTTGTTGGCAACCACAAATATCCTTCTTGATGGAGGATGTACGAGATGCTGGGAAATGCTTTTCCCAAAATAACTTTTTTAGCAGGTCCTATGAAGTAATGAATCCAGGAGGTAACCGAAGAAGACAATTCTTTGCAGAACTTTCCAAAGAAAGTGGGAAGGCACGCATCTTAATCTGATCCTCAGACACACCAGTAGGCTTCATAGCAATACAGATCATATGAAAAGTCTTCAAGTGATTGTATGGATCCTCACTTGCAAGACCATTAAATTTTGGGAGTAAGTGAATCAATCCAGACTTTAACTCAAAATCAGTGTTAATATCAGGATAATTAATGCACCAATTTTGAAAAAGCAAATCAGGTGAAACCAATTCCTTGATAGTCCTAGTAGGGGTAGCCATGCTATTGTCAGAATCAGAAGAGTCAGAAGAGTTAGAGGAATCAGCAATTAACTTAACAGAAGAATCACTTCCTATAAGATTACTAGCTTGAGCTCTCTATCTTTGATAAAAAGTCCTCTTAATCTCAGGTCAAATTCAAGCAATTCTTTACTAGAGGATCTAGTCATGCACTAAGATGTTATCACAAATCAAAGTGAAATGAAAAAGAAAAAAAATGCACAAAAAAAAACGCAGAGAAAATATGCAAAATCACCTAGAACTCAAACCTAAGGTCTAACCATTGCTCCCTGGCAACAGCGCCAAAATTGATGATACCTCTGTCGTTAAAGCACTCAATTAAACTAGGTCCTAATTAATTTGTAATTTAGGATTAACCTAGGTCATTACTTTCAAGGAGCAAGTTATGGGTTTCTTTAGGTAAAAATTTAGGTGATGAAAAATGTAATAAAATAGACCTAAACTAAAATGCAAAATTTTAATTCTAAATGCAAGATGCAAATGTCCTAAAATCTATATGAAAATTAAATTAACCTAAATGAATGTAATGCAATTTTTGGGGGGTGTTTTTTTAGAAGGAAAATAAAAATGATGAATAAAGGAAATTAATCAGAAAGCAAAGAGAATTAGCAAGTAAAAATTCAGAAATTTCTCTTCAGGTCCGGTAGATAGGACAACTCAGGATTTGCATGAATTTAACCTTCATAACCTTAATCAGTTAATTACACCAAAGGGAGGTGATAAGAGAGTGGAATTAATAAACTTAATTACCTACTTGAAATAAAGGAAACCCTCAACTTCAAAAACACTAAAACCATTAGAGAACTCATAACAGTGTAAGGTTGGTTAATTAAACTTATTAAAACCAATGAAAATAATTCAAATTAATTCTAGAAATTATGTTTGAAATTATCTAATTAAATGATCAGATAATCAACCAACTTAATCAAACAATTAAGAGGCAAAAGAACCCAAATTTTACAATTTGAACCACACTGATAATTAAATTTATAATGAAAACTCAATTATAAATTCAATTAACAATGCAAAGGTTCTAAACATAAATTCCAACAAGTATCTCAGCACAAATAAGATCCAAATATCAATCCAATCCAAGAATAAAAATGACAATCTAGAACTAAATTGTCTCAACAAAAATACAACTTAAAATTATTTAAAACTAAATAATTTCAAGTCCTTGAATTAAAAAGTAAATGGAACATCACTTCCCTGTGGTCTTCAAGTGTTAGCCCAAGGCTCCAGCTTCTTCCATGCTCTTCCTAAGTTGTCTCCCAAGCAAGCTTAAGCTGCCATCAAAATGTTCCCTCCTCCAAAGTTGTTAGATGCCATAGCCATGAATGATGAGGTGTAAATGGGAATTTGACCGTGTAGTGAGAAAGGAGAGGAAATTATTGAAATTGTTAGGTGAATATGGAATGGAATCAATGAAATATGAGAGAGGGCATGCGGCTAGAGGAATATTGTTGAAGGAGGGGATTTGACATTAAAATTATATGAATACAGAAGGAAAAGTGATGCTAGGCGTGTCTAGAGGGATTATTTTGATGGGAGAAAAGAAAATTTTTATGGATCCAAAGCTCAAGCCCATTAGTAATTAATTGGCCCATTTGATATTAGCCATTGGATTATGTTTAAATCCCAAGAAATAATCTTGCACCATTGGATTTCCTATATGCTTTCTTGACCTATAAGAATTTCAGTGCATCCATTAATGTAGATTATATCCAAATATAAAAATATATATATCAAAAATTAAATATTAGATATGCACAAAAATTAAGCAAGAAAGTGCAAAACTTTCTAAAAATAATCTTTCTAAAAATATGAGACTTGTTGCGAAAGAAATAAGAAAAATTACTTCCAAGTCAAAAAAAAGGAAATCACAAAATATTTATATTTTTAATCCAAAATCTCAATTTTTCTGCAAAATCCAAAAATCAACCAATTAATCCAATTATGCATAAAAATCCAATTAAGCTTAAAATTATCACTTAAATTCTGAATTAATGTGGGATAAAACATATAAAAATTGGGCTTTATCAACCTTTTCACAGCAACTTCTTCTCCATTATAGAGCTTACCCTGCAATTATCAAAGCTGGAAGTTATATATCTTAATATACATGATTTTATTATCTAAAAATGAAAATTCTAAGTGCATACATATTAACAATTGATGAGACCAACCAATTGATTAATAGCTGTTGATGTGGAGTTCATAGGAGGAGGAGAAGGCGGTGATTATGGTGACGAATCCTCAGGAAGGGAATTGTAGAAATAGGTGTTCTCATACCTAATATTGTAGTTGGGTTTGATAACCCTACCACCGATCTTAGACGACCAACAACTTGGAACTTCTGAAATAGCTAATGTCAAGCAGTTTGAGCAATCTTACTGAGATAGATCAAAAGTGCACTGAGAAAAAGAAAAAGAAAGTAAAGAAATAAAACTGAGATGAATTTGTGATGATCTATTCATTGAGAGAGCTACAATATATATCATATATACATTAAGATAATCTCGCGATACTATTGTTGCATGATTACAATGTGATATATATCATATAATGTCCTATAATTCTAATTTGAACCAGTCTTGATATCACGTGTTGTTATGCATGCGAGTTTTATTATATTGGGCCAAGAGAGATAGATCTAGTGATTTGCTAATAGCCGCCCTCAAGCGAGAGGGTCCCAAACATACCCTGAGCTTGTTACGTAGATAGACAAACTGAGTGCGACCGAGAGGTTTAGTGAGCAGGTCAATTATCTGTTCATGAGTAGGAACATAGTGTATAGAAAGTTGATAAGCAAGCCCTTGATCTCACACAAAGTGAATATCAATCTCAATATGCTTTGTACGAGAGCGGTAAACAGGTTCTCAATGAGTGCCGCAACACTTACATTATCACAATATATGATCAGAGTTTGTTTAAGTGGGAACTTCAACTCTGTTAAAAGGGACTCAAGTCAAGCAATCTCAGCTGCAAAATTTGCCAATGCTCGATATTTTGACTCTATGCTTGATCGAGAAATGATGCTTTGCTTCTTGGATGACTATGAGACAAGGGATCCTCCAATGTATACACAATACCCAGTCATAGACAGTCTATCACTTGGGCAGGCAGCCCAATTTGTATCGAGTATGACGCAAGGTCAAGGTGCTTTGATCTTCTCAACCATAACCCATGCAAAACAGTACCTTTGATGTAACGTAAAATCCACTTTATAGCTTGCTAATGTGCTATAGTGGGACTGCTAAGAAATTAGCTAAGATGGTTAATAGTGTAAGAGATGTCAGGGTGTGTGTTTGTCAAGTATTCCAAGGCTCCAATACCACTTTGAAACTTAGTTGGGTCTGTAAGATGTTCTCCTTCAGCTACTGGAAGTAGCTTTCTAGTAACCATTGGCGTCTTCCACGG